GGTTCCCTGAATAGGGAACGAGATGCTGCGATGCTGGCCGTTCCGTACCTTCGATAGCGCTTCCTTCATCATAGTGTAAAATCTGATGAAATATATTATGAGCATACGTGACGTATGCTCGGGGCGGTGCTAAGCGCTATCGGCCAATAAATTGGCGTGATGGTATAAGGGCTTCAGACGTTGGTCACACCGGAGATGGTATAAGGGCTTCAGACATTCGTCACACCGGGGCTGTTCCCATAGCGATGACGTCATCGCAGCATCTTGTTCCCTATTCAGGGAACCAAGGTTACATACGTAACCGAGATGTTTTTCGCCATTTTCCAGAGTATTTCAAAACACGTGTGACACACTGCGGAACTTCCGCTTCTATGAGCAACCGGAAGCGCCAAAATAAAGGTCCTGCGCGGAACACTGGATAAAGTTAAAGTCCCTGCTGGCTTCGATACAGTTCACCACAGCATTCCTTTAGATCGCCTACAGCAGTAGGTTGGGCTTAGTGGCATTGTTCTGCACTTGGTTTATTCTTATCTGTCCAATAGATCTGTATCAGTTACAATTGGTAATCATTCATCTCCTTTAGTTCCTCGATCATGCAGGGTCCCACAAGGCTCTATATTAGGTCCAGTTTTCTGTTTTCTCTGTATATGTTACCTTTAGGGTCTATTCTTAGGAATTATGAGACTGCATACCACTGTTACGCTGACGATACTCAAATATACGTCCCATTACACCCAAGTCCTGTTCTACTATTGTTAAGTTCGACAGCTGGACCTCAGCTATGGAATAATTTACAGCTCGCCATCCGCTCTGCCCCCTCTCTCATCGCATTTAAAACGGCTTTGAAGAAGCACTTTTTAAATATCAGGGTTTTTTTCTGATGCTGTGTTTTGTGAGGTCTTTTACAGCACTTTGGGCTGCTCTTGTGGCAGTAGAAATGTGCTCTATAAGAAACGTAACTAAACTGGAGTGTGTAAACTGCACACAAACACAAGATGGTTCTTCAACGGCATCTGCAGTTTTATTACAAAAAAAAAAAAGAATCAAAAGATGTAGAGCTTCAGACAAACACATGAACGAAAGAGTGAGAGCAGAAAGAGTGCATGTGACGGAGCTGCAGAGAGAGTTATTACAGTTAGATATTAAAACACAACCAGGAGCTTTAGATTAAATTATTATAAACACCAAATAATACACACGCTTATTTTTTCTGCATTAACAGCTCATTTCTGATGTGTGTGTGTGAGACATTACATCATCTTCATCACGGGTTGTCATCATAAAAGTCTAGCTTTCATCTATTCAAATATAAAAGAATAAAGACAAAAAACTACCGAAGCAAAATAAAACAAACACATCAGAAACTAAATCTGAAGAAATGACACATGATGAAGTGTTAAGGTCGTCATGTGAAATAATAATTATATAATAACCCTCATGTATCTCACTAGCGCTTGAAGACTTTGGTCTATAAGACACAGTTCTGTACAACATACGTATATGTGTGTGTGTGTTTGTGTGTGAGAGAGTGTGTGTGAGGTAGCTGCAGACACAAGCCGTTTATTTACTAGCTGTTGCAGTAGATCTGAATGAACCTGTGTGTGTTTGTGTATATGTGTATGTTGAGGATGAAACTAATATACATCTAATATTAACATGATCATGACTAACATACAGCTAAAGAAGGTTCAGTGTGTGTGTGTGTGTGTGTGTGAGTGTGTATATATTTGTGTGAGTGTGAGTGTGTGTGTGTTATGTGGCAGCGATGGTGGTTCCTCCTCCGAGCCGCAGCAGTATCTGTGTGTGTGTGTGTTTGTGTTTATGTGTGTATATATGTGTGTGTGTGTTATGTGGCAGCGATGGTGGTTCCTCCTCCGAGCCGCAGCAGTATCTGCTGGCAGTCCTGCAGGGATCTGCGGTCTCCCACTCGCTCCAGCGTGCGCTTGGCCTCGGCCAGCAGTCGAGCGCGGTGACCCGGCGGCGTTAGCAGCGGCAGCGGCAGGTGACGACACGCTAGCAGGATAGCATGAGCCCTCTCACGCTCGCCCAGCGCACAGTCACCGTCTGCAGCGCAAACACACGTCAACAAGGCACACTGAACACAGCAGCAGCTGCTATAGAGAGAGAGTGTGTGGGTGAGTGTGTGTGTGTGTGAGAGTGTGAGAGAGAGTGAGTGAGTGAGTGTGTGTGAGAGTGAGTGAGTGAGTGAGTGAGTGAGTGTGTGTGTGAGAGTGTGAGAGAGAGAGAGCGAGAGAGAGACAGAGAGAGTGAGAGAGTGAGTGAGTGAGTGAGTGTGTGTGAGAGAGAGTGTGCGAGTGTGTGAGAGAGTGTGTGAGAGAGAGTGTGTGCGAGTGTGTGTGTGTGAGAGTGAGTGTGTGTGAGAGTGAGTGAGTGAGAGAGTGTGTGTGTGTGTGTGTGTGTGAGAGAGAGAGTGTGCGAGTGTGTGAGAGAGTGTGTGCGAGTGTGTGTGTGTGTGTGTTTGATAGAGTGAGTGAGTGAGTGAGTGAGTGAGTGTGTGTGTTTACCGGTTGTGCTGTAGTTGTGTGTTCGGTGTCGCAGTAGCTGGTGTGTGCGTGTGGGACTGGCTCCTGCCATCAGTCGGACCGTCGTCTCGTGCAGGAACAGCTAAAATCACACACACACACAGATGAGAGAGAGAGTGTGCGAGTGTGTGAGAGAGTGTGTGAGAGAGAGTGTGTGCGAGTGTGTGTGTGTGAGAGTGAGTGTGTGTGAGAGTGAGTGAGTGAGAGAGTGTGTGTGTGTGTGTGTGTGAGAGAGAGAGTGTGCGAGTGTGTGAGAGAGTGTGTGCGAGTGTGTGTGTGTGTGTGTTTGATAGAGTGAGTGAGTGAGTGAGTGAGTGAGTGTGTGTGTTTACCGGTTGTGCTGTAGTTGTGTGTTCGGTGTCGCAGTAGCTGGTTTGTGCGTGTGGGACTGGCTCCTGCCATCAGTCGGACCGTCGTCTCGTGCAGGAACAGCTAAAATCACACACACACACAGACACACACACACACACTGTTAATATCATGTGGAGATCAAGTGCAGAGGTCAGCTGTAGGCTGGGGTCAAAGGTCACCTTGTGTTGGGCCCATCTGTGGGCCTGGCCGAGCTTACGCAGAGAGCTCAAGTCCCTTTGGAATCCAGCCAATTGGGATCCGGGGGCGGGGCCTGGCTCTCCGTTAGACCCGCCTCCGCGCTGCCATAGGCTGGTCCTCAGAGTCAGGAGGAGGTCACACACCAGAAGCTCCACCCCCTGAGAGAGTCAGAGAAGATGATTGGACAAAGAGAAATGCCAGTGTGTTTATGTGCAGTGTAGGGCTGCACGATATTAGAAAAAAACTCACATTTTTCTGCGATATACGTGTATATATAGCGATATAAAAAAAAAATATAAAAAAAAAACGCCAGATGACTTGAAAAGCTCTATTTGGAAAAAAATATATAATCATTTGGGTGATTGTGTAGGTGAGTAAATCAGCATAGAAAATAAACAAATTACAAACATAGATAAATATAATAGAAAAAAACATACAAATGAAATAAACAATGCTTTACATTTTTCAGGTAAGTCTAACAGTAGTCAGGTACAGAAATTGAATAATCAAATGTAAAATAACACTGCAAAGTCTTCACTGTATAAATCTAATAAATCTGTGTAAAGCTACAAAAGTGATTTTTCTTTGTGTGTTGTTGTTTGATTAACATTCATAACACAGACAGCCTAAGGAACATTAAACTGCTGTAAACCAATATACTGTTACAAAAAACAACTTTTCTAACTGTTTTTAGAAAAATCAAAGAGTATCAAATGTAATCATCAGGCTTTTGAGAAATGTTTATTTGTTCATCTCTCAATCATCTTTGCATTGCATTGGTTTTATGTTTTGATCATCAAACTAAGCATTTAAATATGATCTTACTAAGAATTTATTAGAGATTATTGGAGTGATGATGACTGATATTAATATCATTTTAGGTAAGTATCTGCTATATTGTTATAAAGATCTCATCGCTGTGTGAACAGCTGTGTGTGTGTGTGTGTGTTTTACCCAGCGTCCTCTGCGTGTTTGCTGCTCTGCGGCTCGATCAGCGTGTGCACGGCTCTCTCCAGGAGCTTCTCACAGAAGCAGCGGTGCAGCTGTGTGATGGGATCCGCTAGAGACACAAACACGTGTTAGTCCTGCAGCTGGACGCTCAGACGGCCACCCATCGATCGCTCAGGCTTACCTTCATCTCTCTGAGACGTGAAGATCTGCTCGCTGCTCTCTGCCCTCACTGACCAATCACAGCTCAGGAAGAACTGGCGGCCCAGCGGCGTGAAGATCCAGCGCAGGCAGTCTGGGAGGAGCTTAGAGTCTGACTGACAGGCCAGAGCCTCGGCGCAGCTCAGCAGGTAACCCTGACACACAGACAGCAGGTGTGTGAGGGGGTGTGTGGTGTTTACATGAGTGAGTGTGTGTGTGTGATGCTCACGGGCAGACAGGTGAGGTGTTTCCCCAGTGCCGCTCTCAGACTGATGGCTGCCGTCACAAAGATCTGGATCCGCTGAGCGACCGGCATCTTCCCCTCCGCATGCCCTCACTGACCAATCACAGCTCAGGAAGAACTGGCGGCCCAGCGGCGTGAAGATCCAGCGCAGGCAGTCTGGGAGGAGCTTAGAGTCTGACTGACAGGCCAGAGCCTCGGCGCAGCTCAGCAGGTAACCCTGACACACAGACAGCAGGTGTGTGAGGGGGTGTGTGGTGTTTACATGAGTGAGTGTGTGTGTGTGATGCTCACGGGCAGACAGGTGAGGTGTTTCCCCAGCGCAGCTCTCAGACTGATGGCTGCCCTCACAAAGATCTGGATCCGCTGAGAGACTAGTATCTTCCCCTCCGCGCTCTCGCTCAGATTCACAGCGCTCAGAGACACACACACACCCCAGAGCGGCCGCTGATCCAGCTTACCTGAAACACACACACTATATTATTATAACACACACTCACTATAGCACACACACTCAATATAGCACACACTCACTATTAACACACACACACTCACTATTAACACACACACACTCACTATAACACACACTCACCATAGCACACACTCACTATAGCACACACTATAACATACACTCACTATAGCACACACAAACACTAGTGCACACTCACTATAGCACACACTCACTATAACGCACACACTATAGCACACACACTCACTATAGCACACACTCACTATTAACACACACACACTCACTATAGCACACACACACACACACACACACACACTATAGCACACACTCACTATAACACACTATAGCAACCACTCACTATATATAACACACACTCACTATAGCACACACACTCACTATAACACATACTATAGCAATCACTCACTATACATAACACACACTCACTATAACACACACACACACTCACTATAGCACACACACACACTATAGCACACACTCACTATAGCAAACACTCACTATAACACACACACACTATAGCACACACTCACTCACTATAACACACACTCACTGTAGCACACACATACACACACACACACGCTCGCACACGCACACACTCATACTCGCACGCAGGCACGCACGCACACACACACACACACCTGTGAGCTGCAGCTGGCTGAGTTGGTGATACACCAGTGCTGCGTCGCGTGAGCTGGTCTGTGACTCCTCCCCCTCGTGTCCCCCTCCAACCAGACGCACCAGCCAGCCCAGGGGGGCGGGTTTCCGCAGGCAGTAGCGAATCAGGTTCCAGGAGAGCGAGCAGATGATGTCGAGGGTGGAGGAGGGCAGCACTCTGGACAAGACGGACAGACAGGTGTGCAGACTGACCACGGCCTCCGAGTAATCGCCCTGAGACACACACACAACACATGACCACTGAATGTACAATGTGGGGGTGTGTGTTTATATGCATATATATATGTGTGGTGTGTGTGTGTGTGTGTGTGTGTGAGAGAGTGTGTGTGATTGTGTGTGTGTGTTTACCCGGTACAGCTGCAGGTCAGCCTGTTTGCGGTGTCTCCAGAAGCGCACTGAGGTGGGCGAGTGAAGGGGCGTGACCGGCTCCCACAGGTACAGCACACGGACACACCCCCAGACCACGCCCACCCCACTCAGGACCCACACCAGGAACCACGGCAACACGCACCACAGCCACGCCCCTGACGGATGGACAGACACACACGTGACGTTAGCGTCACAGCAGATCGCGCGATCATGTGTTCCCGTGAGCGGGTCATGTGACTCACCAAAGCTCTGCGTGGGCAGCGAGAAGAGCGAGCGCGAGGATCCGTGTGCTGCTGTCAGCCCGGCGCTCTCCTCTGACTCCAGCAGAGACGGCAGAGGGTTGAGCGACAGACAGAGGAAGGTGAGCGTGCAGAGCAGCAGACGCGAGCGGTCCATCACTCCCACCGACGACGGCGAGTCCGGCTCGCTCTTCACCTGAAACACACACACATCAGACTGACCGCCCTGCTCTGATATGAATATGAAGTGAGGGGGCGGGGTCTGTGCTGTTTAGATTATTAATCGAGGGGGCGGGGTCTGTGCTGTGCATTGAAAATGAAAAGAGAGGGTGGAGGCTGTGCTCTGATATGCATATGAAATGAGGGGGCGGGGCCTGTGTCTCACCGTCTCGTGCTCCAGCAGCGGGCTGCCAGGCTCCGAGTCGATGGAGAAGGGCGAGAGCTGAGGAGGAGAGATGGAGCCCGAATCTGATGGAGGAGGAGAAATAAAGGCCACCTCCGGCTTCAGATCCACATCATCAGAGAGACACACTGACTCTACGAGAGACAAACAAACACAGGGCACAATGGTCAAATCCAGCCATCAAAATCAAGTGTAGTGTACAAAGTGCAGATACAAATAATGCAAATTTTGGATTCATAAATAAATAAATAAATAAAATGTATATTAGTAAGTTAATAAATTATTATTAATAATTTAATTTAACTGACAAAATGTCAAGCAAGTCACTTGCCAAATGTATAAATGAGAACGTAAATGCATGAATTTTATACATTATTTATTAAATATTAATAAATTAATAAAGCAAAAGTAGGGATGCACAATTAATCAAAGTCAAATTGCAATGTGAATATTAGTAAAAATGAATTTTAATAGTACATATTAATAATAAAAATAATATTTTTGGATATTTTATTTATGGAATACTACAACATTGTTATTCATGTATTAATTTTAATTTAATTAATACACCTCTGTTGTCCAGCATTTGATTTGATTACATTTTAAAAGATTAATTAAATTGTTCAGTTTTATGCATTTGATAACCATCATTTTTAATAATAAATTTGTATTAAATCATAAACACAGAATCCAGATAATCCTTTTGATTATTAAAATCTAATGAATTTACCTTTAAAATGGAATTGGAAATGAAAAAAAAAACAAAAAAACAAAAAAAAAACAATCTCAAAAAAATAAGATTTCATAGCGCCTAATTATTGTTAAAATGGTAATAAATTACACAATTCTTAGAAATACTATTAAACACTGAATTAGAGAATTCTGAGTGACTCACTGTGCTTGTGACTGGCCATCTTGAGCATCAGGTTCTCCTGCCGGAGCTTATGGTTCACCTGCTGCAGGTATTTGATGTAGTCGATGGCTTTACGCAGAACGCCAGACTTGTGCATCTGTCAATCACAACAAACAGACGTCAGACAGTCACCTGAGCTCCACACATCCCAGCATGCATTGCGGCGCACACACCTTGGCGTCGTTGCCCATCACGAGGTCGCGCATCTCCAGGATTTTGTCGTTGATGGACGATCGGTAGCGTTTCTCAATGATGTTGTGTGTCGTCCGTCTCTCGCCCTCCTTCACAACTCCTCCCGTTCCCACGGTAACGGCCACGCCCTGCTCCACTGCCACCCTGGCTCCGCCCCCTGTGTGGATGGTGCCCGAGGAGAGCTGCTTGATTGGCAGCTTGTCTCCACCTCCCATCACCATGGGAACGGTGGTCAGAATGTTGCTGCTCATCAGCGTCTGTGAAAGGGAGAGACGACATTCAAAACCATAAACAGAACGATATTCTGACAAGAAAGCCAATTAGATATATATGAACATATCACAGTACAATCGAAACAATCACGCCACCACAACAAAAAACCTTTTTAAATGAAAATGCAAATATATTCTCTGCATGAGTATGTCTGATTTTCCATTAAATGCTCATAACATTAAAAAAAAAGATATTTTAAGCTACTATTTTCTAAATAGTAATTTATAATTATATATAAATATATTTATTTATTTTCACTGATTTGTAATATATTAAATATTATTTAAATAAAATTAAAAAGTATTAATTAACTATTTAACACCATATCAGCAGCAAAAGGTTAATTTCTTAACAAATTCAGAGTAGATGAAATTAAAATAATCATAATAATGAATGATTAAATTTATCTGTAATCATTTACCAATATGCTCTTATAAACATATTAAATTAATATTTAATAGAAAATCTAAACATTTCCCAGAAATCTTTTTAAAATCATCAATCAATGAAATTTCTTAATCTTATCTATTTTTTTGTTTTTGCTTATTTATTTAATTTATTTAACGCCATATCATCAGCAAAGGCTGTTTTTATGGCAAACTCAATAGATATTAAAATAATCATAATAGCCATAAAACTTTAATAAATAAAGATACTTGCATGTAATAATTTATCAATACATTGTTATGAATACATAGCAATAACATACGCTCTTTCAGATGAATATTTAATAGAAAATCTAAACATTTAATCAAATTTAACAGTAAAATATTATATTTAAATAATTTTTTTAACAACATATAAGCTGCAAAGGCTGTTTTGAGTAGACATTAAAATAATCTTACTAACAAATTTATTATTCAGTGAATAAAATGATGTACCATTATTTGACAATATTTTTGCGTTAATGAAACTTCAGTATGATATTTCTGCCAGTGTATCATGACTGTAGTGTGTGTGTGTGTGTGTGTGTGTGACATACAGGGACCTGCAGCGAGGTGGTCTGGATGGGTGCCGTGAGCGTGGTGATGCCCGGCGGGTTATGGACGGTCGACAGCACCTGCGTCCCGTCCGGTTTGAGCGTGGTCAGAACCAGAGAGTCCGTCTTCAGGATCTGTGGCTGGTGCAGCAGCACCTGTCGGCCAATCAGAGCGCAGCGTCACACATGACATCATACGGCACACTAATGACAATCTGCAGTGAGCGTGTGTGTGACGTACAGGCACCTGCTGCGATACGGTGTGGACCGGCGCGGTGGACAGCGTCTGGAAGGTCTGACCGGATGGAGTCAGCAGCCGCTGGTGCTGGATGGTCATGGGCTGGACCTGCGGAGACGTCATGATGCTCTGCATCTGCGGCTGGAGGACTGAGAAAGACACAGCTGCGTGAGAGAGAGTGTGTGTGTATAGTGTGAGTGTGTGTGAGAGTGTGTGCGTGTGTAAGCGTGTGTGTGTCTGGAAGGTCTGACCGGATGGAGTCAGCAGCCGCTGGTGCTGGATGGTCATGGGCTGGACCTGCGGAGATGTCATGATGCTCTGCATCTGCGGCTGGAGGACTGAGAAAGACACAGCTGCGTGAGAGAGAGTGTGTGTGTATAGTGTGAGTGTGTGTGAGAGTGTGTGCGTGTGTAAGCGTGTGTGAGTCTCACCCTGGAAGCCGGCGCCGGGGTTCTGCTGGCAGATCACCTGGTTGTGGATGAATCGGTGTGTCTGCGTGCCGGTCGGCGCGATCATCACTGTCTGTGGCTGCGCCGGCGTCTGCACCGCCAGCGTCTGCATGGGGAATGTCTGCGTCTGCATCTGTGGACGGCCAATCAGAGCACTGTGTGAGGAGTGACCGATTCAAATCAAAGTACGGGCGAAATCACAGAATCCAGACATAAAAATAAGATGTGGTCAGAACATGAGGAGGTGTGGTCAGAGACTGAGGGGTGTGGTTAGGCTCCCCCATGTGATTGGCTGAGGTCATGTGTGATGATTTGTGGTCAAAGCGTGAGGGGAGTGTCAGTGTGGAGCTGTAGTCATTTATAAGGAGGTGTGGTCAGAGTGAGAGGTGTGTAGTCGTGTAAAGAGATGTGGTCAGAGAGTGAGAGGTGTGCCGTCATGTGTAAGGAGGGGTGGTCAGAGAGTGAGAGGTGTGCCGTCATGTGTAAGGAGGGGTGGTCAGAGAGTGAGAGGTGTGCCGTCATGTGTAAGGAGGGGTGGTCAGAGAGTGAGAGGTGTGCCGTCATGTGTAAGGAGGGGTGGTCAGAGAGTGAGAGGTGTGCCGTCATGTGTAAGGAGGGGTGGTCAGAGAGTGAGAGGTGTGCCGTCATGTGTAAGGAGGGGTGGTCAGAGAGTGAGAGGTGTGCCGTCATGTGTAAGGAGGGGTGGTCAGAGAGTGAGAGGTGTGCCGTCATGTGTAAGGAGGGGTGGTCAGAGAGTGAGAGGTGTGCCGTCATGTGTAAGGAGGGGTGGTCAGAGAGTGAGAGGTGTGCCGTCATGTGTAAGGAGGGGTGGTCAGAGAGTGAGAGGTGTGCCGTCATGTGTAAGGAGGGGTGGTCAGAGAGTGAGAGGTGTGCCGTCATGTGTAAGGAGGGGTGGTCAGAGAGTGAGAGGTGTGCCGTCATGTGTAAGGAGGGGTGGTCAGAGAGTGAGAGGTGTGCCGTCATGTGTAAGGAGGGGTGGTCAGAGAGTGAGAGGTGTGCCGTCATGTGTAAGGAGGGGTGGTCAGAGAGTGAGAGGTGTGCCGTCATGTGTAAGGAGGGGTGGTCAGAGAGTGAGAGGTGTGCCGTCATGTGTAAGGAGGGGTGGTCAGAGAGTGAGAGGTGTGCCGTCATGTGTAAGGAGGGGTGGTCAGAGAGTGAGAGGTGTGCCGTCATGTGTAAGGAGGGGTGGTCAGAGAGTGAGAGGTGTGCCGTCATGTGTAAGGAGGGGTGGTCAGAGAGTGAGAGGTGTGCCGTCATGTGTAAGGAGGGGTGGTCAGAGAGTGAGAGGTGTGCCGTCATGTGTAAGGAGGGGTGGTCAGAGAGTGAGAGGTGTGCCGTCATGTGTAAGGAGGGGTGGTCAGAGAGTGAGAGGTGTGCCGTCATGTGTAAGGAGGGGTGGTCAGAGAGTGAGAGGTGTGCCGTCATGTGTAAGGAGGGGTGGTCAGAGAGTGAGAGGTGTGCCGTCATGTGTAAGGAGGGGTGGTCAGAGAGTGAGAGGTGTGCCGTCATGTGTAAGGAGGGGTGGTCAGAGAGTGAGAGGTGTGCCGTCATGTGTAAGGAGGGGTGGTCAGAGAGTGAGAGGTGTGCCGTCATGTGTAAGGAGGGGTGGTCAGAGAGTGAGAGGTGTGCCGTCATGTGTAAGGAGGGGTGGTCAGAGAGTGAGAGGTGTGCCGTCATGTGTAAGGAGGGGTGGTCAGAGAGTGAGAGGTGTGCCGTCATGTGTAAGGAGGGGTGGTCAGAGAGTGAGAGGTGTGCCGTCATGTGTAAGGAGGGGTGGTCAGAGAGTGAGAGGTGTGCCGTCATGTGTAAGGAGGGGTGGTCAGAGAGTGAGAGGTGTGCCGTCATGTGTAAGGAGGGGTGGTCAGAGAGTGAGAGGTGTGCCGTCATGTGTAAGGAGGGGTGGTCAGAGAGTGAGAGGTGTGCCGTCATGTGTAAGGAGGGGTGGTCAGAGAGTGAGAGGTGTGCCGTCATGTGTAAGGAGGGGTGGTCAGAGAGTGAGAGGTGTGCCGTCATGTGTAAGGAGGGGTGGTCAGAGAGTGAGAGGTGTGCCGTCATGTGTAAGGAGGGGTGGTCAGAGAGTGAGAGGTGTGCCGTCATGTGTAAGGAGGGGTGGTCAGAGAGTGAGAGGTGTGCCGTCATGTGTAAGGAGGGGTGGTCAGAGAGTGAGAGGTGTGCCGTCATGTGTAAGGAGGGGTGGTCAGAGAGTGAGAGGTGTGCCGTCATGTGTAAGGAGGGGTGGTCAGAGAGTGAGAGGTGTGCCGTCATGTGTAAGGAGGGGTGGTCAGAGAGTGAGAGGTGTGCCGTCATGTGTAAGGAGGGGTGGTCAGAGAGTGAGAGGTGTGCCGTCATGTGTAAGGAGGGGTGGTCAGAGAGTGAGAGGTGTGCCGTCATGTGTAAGGAGGGGTGGTCAGAGAGTGAGAGGTGTGCCGTCATGTGTAAGGAGGGGTGGTCAGAGAGTGAGAGGTGTGCCGTCATGTGTAAGGAGGGGTGGTCAGAGAGTGAGAGGTGTGCCGTCATGTGTAAGGAGGGGTGGTCAGAGAGTGAGAGGTGTGCCGTCATGTGTAAGGAGGGGTGGTCAGAGAGTGAGAGGTGTGCCGTCATGTGTAAGGAGGGGTGGTCAGAGAGTGAGAGGTGTGCCGTCATGTGTAAGGAGGGGTGGTCAGAGAGTGAGAGGTGTGCCGTCATGTGTAAGGAGGGGTGGTCAGAGAGTGAGAGGTGTGCCGTCATGTGTAAGGAGGGGTGGTCAGAGAGTGAGAGGTGTGCCGTCATGTGTAAGGAGGGGTGGTCAGAGAGTGAGAGGTGTGCCGTCATGTGTAAGGAGGGGTGGTCAGAGAGTGAGAGGTGTGCCGTCATGTGTAAGGAGGGGTGGTCAGAGAGTGAGAGGTGTGCCGTCATGTGTAAGGAGGGGTGGTCAGAGAGTGAGAGGTGTGCCGTCATGTGTAAGGAGGGGTGGTCAGAGAGTGAGAGGTGTGCCGTCATGTGTAAGGAGGGGTGGTCAGAGAGTGAGAGGTGTGCCGTCATGTGTAAGGAGGGGTGGTCAGAGAGTGAGAGGTGTGCCGTCATGTGTAAGGAGGGGTGGTCAGAGAGTGAGAGGTGTGCCGTCATGTGTAAGGAGGGGTGGTCAGAGAGTGAGAGGTGTGTAGTCACGTGTAAGGTGGTCTGGTCAGAGAGTGAGAGGTGTGTAGTCGTGTAAAGAGATGTGGTCAGAGAGTGAGAGGTGTGTAGTCGTGTAAAGAGATGTCGGTCAGAGAGTGAGAGGTGTGTAGTCATGTGTAAGGAGGTGTGGTCAGAGAGTGAGAGGTGCGTAGTCATGTGTAAGGAGGTGTGGTCAGAGAGGGAGAGGGGCGTAGTCATGT